TAGGTCCTCACTGACCCTGGGCCTGGCTGCGCCACCCCTGGGTCCATCCGGGATCCCGGCGCAGGGGGATGACCCAGTCCCTGCTCAGAAAAGTGGAGGCAAAGAAATTGGAGGAAGAAAGAACAGAGGGAATTGCAGTGGCACAAAAAAGAATATTTGTTTGAAGCAGACAGGTCCTTGCTGTGCTGTTTGGGACCTTAGCACTTTAATTCCTCCCTCAGCCTTCCTGGGAGCTGACTGAAAAGAAGGAGCTTTTTGAGGCAGGATTGCTATGGATCATTGGGGAAGCCAGGGACAGAGAAGAGCCAGGGTCTCAAAACTAGATGTCTACCCCTTGTGAAAATGTACCAGGGCTGGCTTCCTTCAGGAAAGGGAAATCGTATTGAGGCTTCTTCTTAAGCATAATAATAAGCTGAGCTTCCCCTCCAAATGGGGTGATCTGTGGCAAGCTTCAGAACCAGGAGCAATAGAGCTGAGGTCTCAGCCAAGCCTGTTTTCTTTCATGCACTGCTGCATTAAGACAGCTGTACTGCTTCTAGGCCCAGACATAGAACTGGGTATCCCAGTATTGAGATACACTTTTTTACATCTAAAGTCTGCTTAAGACATAATTTACATTTCTAAATCCTTTACTGGATTAGGCCTTCTCTCTCTCTCTTCTGGTCTAAAAAAGCTGTGCTGGTCTGTGAAGCGTTGAGGAGAGTAGACTGCTTGGTATTGTGCAACTGCAATTACACTACTTGAAAAAGTGCTGCACTTGAAAGTTGCAAAGTCTGTCTTATCTAATCTACTGGAAGCCAATAATCATAATGGTTAATTGAGGCGGGAAGGTGAATGTAAGAGAGGTATAAAATATATGGAAATAAAGAGCTAACTAATAATTTCTAGGGCACTTACAGATGTGGAAAAAAACCCCAAACAAACGGCTCTTTACTTCCAGCTTGGTGCACCCCTGCACCAAGTGCAGCACGTGCCCAGATGAGGCATCACATTATTTTGACCTGGCTTGCCAAATGTCTGTATGGATCAGGAGTTTCACTGGTGGTTTTTGGCACTTATCTAATAGTTGATTGAATCAGCTTTAGATAAAATTGCCAAAAAGCCCCGCTGAAACACCCAATCTATACAGACACTGGGGAGCCAGGTCAAACTAATGAGATGCCTCTTCCAGTAAAGCGATGGGGGGTTTTTCTTCACATCTGTTAGTGCCCCTAAAGTAGCTGAATATTATAATTTATAAAACTGCAAACATATATGCACCCAAAAATATAACGTATGAATTCATTTCTGAGAGAAGTGGAACATCTGCAGTTTCCATGAACTAATGTGAATGTGTATTTAAAAAAAAAATTAAAAATATATATTGTAACATATGAATGAAGAAGAAAGATTAACATGAATTGCTTGTGAGCAGTTATTACAAATATTTGACGTTATTAAGTACTGCAACATTATGACTAGGATAATTACCTGCACCTGTTTTTCCGTAATTAAACGGTTGTGTACATCATTACATTTTCAGTGAGGTCCAGACGATATTTTCTTTTGCTTTGTACTACTGAAATGCAGTTGATTAGAAATGTTGTGACTTCTAGATGAAGAATGCATTACTTCAGCTTTTGGGAGAAATAACTATATTGCTTTAAATCACAGCACAAAAGTACTGAGATCTTTAATTCAGCACATGGAATTCATGAAAGAATTTTAATTGCTTTTTTCTACAGTTCTGCAAGCATGTATGGTCAAATTAGGATACTGTCTAATATTTTGGAAAATCTGACTGTTTCACAAATAAAATGACTTGTATCATATGAATAATAAGCTCAGGCAGTCACAACACTTTGACAAGATATACTGCCACATATTTTCTTCAATCTTCAGGTGAGCTAAATTCTAGGGGTCTTGGTTTGGAGATGATATTGAGAGAAAAGGAGAAACAGATGATATTGAGAGAAATGGTTAATAGGAGAGGCTGATACATACTGGGTATGTCTATACATGCAGTTAATGCAACTGAATATACTCTGGCTCCAGATACCACTTGTATCTGATGGGACGGGACTATCCTGCAGTGTAGTAAATTAAACTACTGTGCCTTATCTGCCGTGCACGTGTAGACAGTGCTGCTTTACTGAGCAGCAAATTAGTCTGCTGCGCAGTGAAGTTCCTCACGTAGATATGCCCACTGCCTTCTGAATGTGGTGATTTGGACTGAGTTTACTGCTTTGAATTAAAAAAAAAATACTACTGACATCTACATAATACTCGAAGAAAATATTTTATATTCATTATTTTTCTCTTTCAGATAGCTTTTGTACATCTCTACTGAGTATCATAACGAGGATAATACACAGGATAATACCTACCATGTAATCATGTTATTTAAATAATGGGATCACAGATCCCTACTGATAAAAAAGAAGAAGAAAGTTTCAGATACTAAAAAGGTTTTGTTCCTAAATCAAGTTTGAGATTTTTTGGCAGCCTAGGGACTTGGCCTTTGGCATCAACAATGAAGTAGATTTATCCTTGCCATATATTTCCAAGTAATTTCAAATTCAGCCCAAAGAACTAGCTCTCTATGAATGGCAGGTTTGTTAAACAGCTCTATGATGTAGCATCCAATGACCTGTGCCTCAAATTACAGTGACTTTCTGGCTGCTTTTCCTAAAACCACAGCTCCAGCTGTTAACAAAATACTGTCAGCCATCAGTGCTTGCCAACAAATTAAGTGCTAGAAAAAGTGATGAGCAAAATCTTTTTAATCTCCCACAAATCTGATTGGGACAAGAATTCCCTCTTTAATTTCTCCATCAATCCTTAAAACAATATGCCAAGGAAACAGCTCCCTGGAGGATAATATTGTTTGCTTCTAAAGAGGGATGAAGGAGTCCATTCCCTGCTCACCTGCTTTACTAACTTGATTACTGTCATCTAGAACAACTGTCTTAAAAGATAACTGGAAATAACTGACTTGAGGTTTGGCAATGGAGGCACTCACATCACACACTTTAAACTCAGAGACACTAAGAAAGGTTTTGATCCATCCCTTATTAATTTCTAAATAGCAGGATGAATTATAAGTAATCCAGTGGGACTAACCATGAGAACGAAGAAAAGAGCCCTGAAGTCCACAACAGATTAAGGTCTCCATTCCCCCATGAAAAGATTAACTATTAGTAAGCAAATAAGACCTATTCAGGACACCTCTGACCATTCCCCTTCCTCCTAATCAAGGTGCTGTGCTGGCACTGGAAATGAGACTGTAGCAGAGGCAGTCAATCTGCACACTAGATTTAACCAAGATAGATCAGGTAGCAATAGCAGTGAAGCCATAGTGGCATGAGCTTCAACTACTAAGTAAGAAATCAGGTATTTCCTGATTTTTTATAAAAATAAAATATAATTATTTTATTATTATATCTTATTTTACTGTCAAATTTATTGTATTGTTTTAGCAAAAACTGTAAATAAGCTACTACATAAGGTTTGTACTACACAGAACATAAATTATAGGAAATGCTTTCCATTACATTAGCAACAAGTTGAGAAACTGTACTAATGAAATGGTCCAGAAAATATGCTATCATATGTGCCAAGGCTAATGGACAAGAACCAGCTCAAAAAAGAATCTGCAAAAACACTCTTAACTGAAGTTGATGAACTCTGTCTAGCACAGAGGTCAAATCCCAGCACACAGTCAACAGAAATACTTGTGTTGAAGTTATGTCCTAACTTACTCGAAGGAAACGTAGAGAAGGGGAAAGAATTTTAGTGCAAGTAAGTGTTCACACTTGGTCCAATTCTACTGTTCATACCAGCATATGGCAATAGTAACTAATACATATGATAGACTGATAAATGGATCTTAGTATAAGTAATTTTCTCTAATAGGATTTTAAGTAATTTTTAAAAACATTTTCTCTTTTACAAAAAATAAGCAAGTAGCATTTTTTCTCTTATGAGGGAAAAGCTATTAATAGATTTTTAAGCCAGCCACCAATGCACAATATTAAGAGTTTTAAGGCACTAATTGACTTGGACATTAATGAAATAATAGCACAACAGTCTCTAATGGAATTAGGCCAGATGTGCATATTTATATGGCAATAAATTTATTAATGATTGTAATACATTGTAGCACCTTAATACCTAGGAAGTGCTGAACTATAAAAACCATTGATCATAGGAGGTGCCGTGTTTATTTTTGGCATCATTAGGTGTGTGGACATGAAATTGCAATATTTAGAAATGGAAAGGAGGTTCTAAGCTAGGCTGCTAGGCCAACATCAGAGGAGGCAGAAGTCAGGAGTAGAGGGCATACTGAAAAATACATACCCTTGAAAATAATCACTGGAGACTATTATGGCAATGGCTATTTTCAACCCTGAGGCATAGTTCTTTATGCTTGTGTGTAGATAGGTGGGATGGGAATGAGGGTATTTCATGGCAGGAATAAATTAGTACTGTAGCAGAATTTAGGGCCTGTTGCCATGGAATTTGATCCCATTGGGCCTCAGAGCAAAAGAAGGCTATCCATTGGATACTATATTTAAAAGGCATTTTGTTTGATTAAGAAAAAAATAATTGCAGCATTGTGTATCTGTATCCCATTTTTGTGTTTCTCATTGTTTTTCTTCACAATCTTTTTTATTTAGAATCTCATTTAATTCATATTTTGAAAAATACTTAACGTTGTTTTTCTCTTTTGAATCTTTCTCTATGGAAGATTTCTGTCCATTCGTTTAGTTCTAGCTAACATTTATATTCCTTCATTCTAATTTCATTCTCTTCTCTACCTTTAAAGAGCATTGTTTTAAATTGCCTCAAATGGTTTAAGCACAAGAAAATGAAACTTTCTTTTGCAAAATGCCCTGTCACAACAGTTAGCTGAGTACTCTAAGATTTAAAGAAAGCAATGTTCTACCCACAGCACTGTCATGAAATACTAACCAACTCTCCAAGCTAAAATAAAAAGAAAGATCCAAACAAAAACAAACCTGATGGCATCCATGGATCAGACGAGGGATTTACCAACGTGTGCACCTGGTCCCAGTTAAGATCATCATCCACAGACTGAGTGTACCCACAGGAGCTCAATGGCTCATCAAAGGAACAACATCCTATACAAAATACAAAAGTAAAAGTTACACTAAGAAAGTAAATATCAAATAATCTATATATTTAATATAGATTCAGTTAGATATCAAGCTGAATTTGAGTATGTCTATTTTTAGCAGAAATGTTCATGTGAGAAAGTGAGAAAACCTTTACAAAACATCTCTAAATTGTTTCTAAAACATTATTAAATCCAGCAATAGTTTCCAAAATACTTTAAAAGGAAACAAGGGACTTATATGTTTAACAATCCAAGAATATTTGGTTCATTATTTTCCTAGTAGTAACTGATTTAATAGGAAATAGAACTTTCTCCTCTCTGCGGTAAACAAAATCAACTGGGGAAAAAATGTAATTCAGAATTTAGGCAGTATTTCTCTTATAAGTTGGTCATTTAGCATGAAAACAAAGAGTCCAAAAGGATCTTCAAAATTACTTAATCCAACTAGTGATAACTTTGTCAGTGGGCAGTGGCTGGAACCAAGGTGCCTGAGCCTACAGTTCAAACCTTTTGGACCATGCAGAAGAGAAAGGAAAAGGGAAAAAAATCCACAGGCTTTAAGAAAACTCTCCAAAAGTAACCAGAGTTGTGTTTTCTTTCCCCTCCTGTCCCTGTCCCTTTTTCTCAATTGTCATCAAAAGAAGGATCCTTGGTTCAAGAGACTAGACCATTCCAACATGGGGAAGAGAAAAGAAAAATCTCAGCAATTAATCAGAAAGAAACCTAAAATTTCCATTCACAATTACAGTTTTGTCAGCGTTATTTGTTTAATAGAGCTATTTCTTTCTTCAACTATCTAGAGAATACTGCACTATTAACAAAGTAAAGCTTCAGCAATCATAAAAGAATGGGGAAATTCTTTGTTTCTTTCCTCAGGTGTATAATGAAACTTTTCTAGAACCAACTACCTCTGAAGTTTGGCATTTCACTTCAATGAAAAAATATGCTTTTTCTTTAGAAAAAAAAATCAGCTTTAGCCATGTGCACTTCAGCCCATGTTAGAACAGGTGCTGCAGTTGTTCCTACAATACTAGACTTCAGGGCTGAATGCAAAAATTTCAGGGTGTTAGGGGGAAGTTAAACTGGATCAAAATGGCTGCCCAATATCAGGTAAGTCGGCATGGGGGAGCTAGTGGTGGGGCTGTGGGGTCCAGGAGGCTGGAGGGAATAGGCAGTCCACCAGGGGAAGGGAAAGCAGTGCAACCCATGAGGTGGAGGGCAGAAGCGACCCATGGGTGGGTAGGACCAGTGAACCTAAGTGAGTGGGCAAGAACCTACTTAAATCGTGCCGAGACAAGAGGTTTTTTGTAGCCTGCTCACGGCACACAGAGACAATTTCATAGGCATTTTGTGGCAGCCTTGCCCATTAGCACTGATTGGTGGAGAGGACCCAGTGGGCAGGAGAGATGAGGGGATGGCTGCCATCTTGATTGCTGGCTGCCCTTCATGCAGCCACTCCCCTCTACACTGATTAGTGAAGAGACCCTAATTGGGGGGACGAGAGACAAGGGGGCAGCTCCCATCTTGATTGCTGGCTGCCCTTTGTGCAGCCCTGCCCCTTAGTGCTGATTGGTAGAGAGGCCCCAGCGGGGAGGAGAGATGGGGTGCAAATGCCATCTTGATAGCTGGCTGTCCTTTGTGCTGTCCCACCCCTCACCGCTGATTGGCAGAGAGGTCCCAGTGGTGGGGAGGACAGATGAGGTTTCAGCCATTACCTTCATGCCACCATGCTGGCCAGTGCCTTTCCCTCCCAACAGCAAGGACTGCTGGCTTCACCAGAGAGCCAGCATTTTATTTTTATTGATTTTTGTTGTTACTGATTTTATGTATTTTGCAGACAATCCTATATTCTGCGGTTTCCACAAAATCCACACAACCACAAATTAAGTAGGTCCCTATTAATGACCCCCTATCCTTTTAATGGTCTTGATGTTCCCTTATTCAAAACACCTTTTCTTCTGCAGTTTGGCTGTCTGTTCGCCATTTCTGGTGATGCTTCTCTTCTATTTCAGAGCCCTGAAGACTGCTCTTAGCTCTAACTAAAAACCTTAACTCAGGTGTGGTAATATTAACTCAAGGTGGAGAAATGACTGACAGTGAAGTATTGGAGGCACTGTCAATAGACTCAAGATGGATAGATTTTGTTTTATGAGTCTGAGTAAGAGACGTACATTTAACTATAATGAATATGGGACTAATGACAATCTCTTTTCGACTCCTGACACTTTTTTTTTTTTTTTTTTTTTTTTTTTTACTTAGGTTGTATTTTTTTTAAATTTATATATAATCTAACAAATGTGTGCACATTCCAATAGTTATATTTGTTTTTGCTTTGTTCTTAAAATGAATAGTATAGGGCTAGCCCCACAAGTATACTAGTAAACCTCCTGGTTTCTCTAACTGGAGCTGGAGAAAAATATGTTGAGTTATATGCGATGATGTGCCATACCATCTGCCACTCACTTTTCAAATTCTTAGATGCACTTATGCCTGTGTCTACAGACATAAGATAAAAATTTGCCACCCTTCACTGAAAAAGGCGTCAGTTTAATTATATATTAAAAAAAGAAAATCTTTAGAAAACATTTCTAAATTGTGTCTAGAATATTATATCTGGTAGTAGTTTCCAAAACACTTTATAGGGAAATAAACTTATATTTAATAACCCTGTTTCAGTGCAACTCAGTAGGATTACACTAATCTAGACATAGTACAGCCTTCCTATTATGTATACCTAACACAACAGTTGTGACGCATGTTTTGTAAGAATAGAAATTAATTTTCATTAATGACTATAAATGGTCTCTTTAAAGCGTATCTTTTCCCCTTAAATAATGCCATCTGTTTTCCTTTTATATGAATCTCAAACATATACCCTAATGGCATGGGCATAGGTCATCCCACACTGTTCTTAATTGTGTTTTATAGAAGAACCTTATTCATTAGCTCTAGGCATGTCAGAGAAATTAGCACCCCTGGACACTGCATCTTCCTGTATCACTTTTAAGCGTGGAAGTCTCAATTAGACATTCCACTGGGAACAGAAAACTCATTAAGGATCTTGCAGCACTAAACCGTAATATTTCACCTTGACAGCAACAGATATAAATTATCTCCCTTGCAAAGTTAAACAAAATCTAGAAAAAAGTAGATTTTTCTACAGCATAAAAAAAAGGACTTCCACTACATTTGTGGTGGGAGGTTTAGAATATTAGGCAAATATTTACTGTATGTTTGCAGTAATGTTTGCAAAAATATTACCTGATATAACAAAATCCTCCTACAAGCAAAACTTCAGCTAAGGAACAAGAGAACAGCCCTTGCATTGGATTTCTTGAAAACAGATATTCACGTATTTGGATGTAATTCCACGTGAGAAAAAGCCAGCAAGCAACAGAGACAGCATAGAGCAAGGGCCAGGTAACACTGCCAAAATATTTATAACCTAGTAAGCCTTTAGCAGTATATTAAGATCTACTGTCCAAACATAGGACTGATGAATTATAGTGCAACTCTCACATTACACAAAAGTGTTTATCACTTGAAAAAAAGTACATAAAAACTATACATTTGTACATACTGAACTTCAGGATGAGAACTGAGTTACAAAGGCCAACTTTTAAAAAACTGAAAATATTGTGAATTTCTCAAGGCTATTTAAACGTTTCTGTCCTCACAAATTATCATGATCACAATAAACATGGATAAATTGAACTGAAATAAGAAAACCTATTTGACTCTAGACCAGAATACTGGGGCACCCAAGGGTGCCCAGATGCTTTGAAGAGTGGTCCAAAATCTGAGGAGATAAAGAGAAAAGTGCAGGCTCAGGCTTTCCCCATCAGGCCCCTCCTCAAGGAGGTAAGCACTGTAATAAATTAGTTTTTGAAATAGGGATTCACAAAAGTTAATTCACAAAAGTGGAGAGGTGCCTCATGTCCAGGGATCTGGGTTTGCCACTTCCCATGGAAAAATGAAGTAAAATGCAGATTTTCCCCTTTACCAGAGTAAAATGTAGATTTCTCATTTTAGCAGAGAAAACTGCAGATTTTGCAGTTTTGTAACAAGCCCTCTGCAGGCTGGCAGAGTTCCTGCCTGCAGAGGGCAGGGAAGGAGTGGGAGAAGAGGGGTCAGGCAGGGGGTGCTATGTGCATGTATATGCACATGGCAGGCAGGCAGGCAGCCTGGAGTGCAGCTCCCACAGGTAAGTGGAGGGAGGAGAGGGAATTGAGGCCCCCCATAGGGAGGAAGGGAGAGGGTTGGGCAGTGCTGGGGCTATGGCTGCTGCCCAGCCAGGCAGTGTGTGGGGTTTCAGGCCTGGGGCCACAATGCATGGCCACAGGTCCCTGGTGGGGAGTGGGATGGGGCCACAGGCAGCTTGTCTGGGGGGTGCAGGGGCTGGGGACGGCTCCCCACCAGGGCACACACTCCTCGGGGGGTGGAGGGACCCACGTCCCCCAGATCTGTGCACACTGCCCGCCCTGCTGCTCTCCCGAGGGCCTCCATAGGACCGCGGCTACGACCCAGCGCTGCAGGAAACAGCGGGGCTGCACAGGAAAGCTACTTGCTGCTGCAAGATCCACGGTACTCTGGTGATGCATCCCCTGTGCACGGGGCTGCAGTGGGGGCAGCGGTGCGGGGTTGTGCTGCTCACTGCTGCTGTACACGCAAGGGATGTATCACCAGGGCACTGAGGAGCTCACAGCAGCAAGCAGCTTTCCTGCATGGCCCCACTGTTCCCTGGAGCACTGGGTCAAATCTGGAGCTGCAGAGGCCCTTGGGGAGGGCAGCAGGGAGGGAGCCCAAGCCCTCACTATGCACCTGCCCTGCCCCCACTCTGTTCACAGATCTGGGGGCATAGGTCCCACTGGAGTGTGTGCTGCAGCAGGGAGCTAGCCCCACCCCCTGCCCAAGCTCGCAGCAGGCAGGCAGCACGAGGGGAGCTGGGCTCTGCTCTGCTGCAGCAGCTGCTGCCTTCTGTTGGGGACTATGGACACAGGTCCC